AAAAAAAAAAAAAAAAAAAAAAGTAAGAAATTAAAACTTAATTTAACTAAACGATGAACACCGTTGGGTAACAGAGATTGTAAACCTAAATGATGCTCATCACGGATATAAAAGCATCACCAAGGCAGGTAGAGATCCACCAAGGTGTTCTTCAACCCTGAAAAACAGACGACCAAAAGACTTGCACCTTCCTCACAGTAAAAAAATCTCCCCATTCCTCAAACACGTGAAACCCAGGGCTCACCATAACCGGGGATACTATGAAATATTGCAATTATAATTGTAAAAGTAACTTCACAAATTTCCTTCGTAGCCAGGGACAACCATGGGGGACATACGCATCTTCAGTTTCAAGGCGTTGCCAATTATTTTCCGAAGACAGTACACTACATCGGCTGTGCATCCCACAAGCAGGGAAAAATAAATTTCACCGAGAATATTGAGGACACTACTGTGCAAAAAAGTGCGTTATTATGTTTATCTGGTGTGGGCAGTATATTTATATCCGTGATAATGTGGCACGTGAATTGGTACCGTACCTTAGAGTCTCCTTGATGCATCCCCTAAGAAACGGCATTTTCTGTAACGTGGCAGCAGTGGCAAGTTCGTCAGGTTGCAGAACCGAGTTTACCTCCTCATAAAGCTGTTTTTGCACGTCCGGATTCCTTGCAAGCGAGTACAGCGTCCACAGAGTCGTGTTTGAAGTCTGCAAAATACAATCACGTGAATAAATCTTTCATCAGAATGTATTGTAAATTTATCTCCCAGTATCTATCACTAGCTCAACAAGCTCTCAGCTTTGAAGTGCTCATACGCATACAATATGTTTTTCCCATTTGAAAGTCCACATAAAAAAGCGTCTCGAAAACGTTTTTCGATTTCAACTAAACGTGATTTTTTGATGATTTTTCTGAAACACTCAAATTAGCCGTCTTTTTGATACACCACTCGCACTTAAAAAAAGAATTTAAAAAAAAATCACTCTCTGACAAATAAGAAAATAATTATAAAAACTGTAAGGTTGATTGAATTTGTAATGAAGTAATACCTTTTTGGTTCGCCTCGGCGGCATAACCGGCGAGTTTGGTCGACCAATGGTTTGTATTTTGGCCAAACGTAGTCGAGCCAAAATAATCTCAGCGAGACTAAACGAGCCTGATATGCCGCCAAAGCGGACTAAAAGGGCATGATTAGGTATTTACCGTACCCAGTCATCATATCGTGGCCATATCAGGTCAGTGACTTGATAATGCACTTCGAATTTGGGTGGGTGATTTTTTGGAGGTCTCCTTGTTTAATTTTAAGTAATAAAGATTTTTTTAAGGAGAGAAAACGATGACGATGATGATGATAGTGATGATGATGATGAGGAGGAGGAGGAGGAGGAGGAAAGAGCTGACGTCTTAGGAGCTAGCTAGGTGAAGTCTTAAGAAAAGTGAGTGTTCATTCCTACCGTCTCCACAGCTGCTATCAATATTTCCACCAAATTTGCCGAAATTTCTTTAGAGCTTATGTCATCTCTGCTGATCAGAAATGTTAAGAAATCCGCGGCATCTTCGTCGTTAAAGTCTCCATTTCCCAGCTTGTCTCGAATTTCATTCAACCTCTCTTCAATACACATGTCGCCAAAGTTGTACATGACATCCATACAATCATAGAACACTTGAACTGCCTTGAACCGGTAAAACTTGTCAATCCAAACAGGAGTGACGAAAACCTTTAGGATTTCACGAGACAACTTTTCAACAGCAGCAATAAATCTCGCTCCTTCCACTGAGGGTGACTTAGTAAAGGACCCAAATCTTTTTTCAAACAGGACTGTACCAACCGCTGGAATTGTTAAAAGATGACACAGGATTAAGACATGCTATCAGACATCATTATGGGTTTGAAGGAGCTTTTCTGCCTTATTTTCGATAATTGATGTTATAAACTGGTGAACTCTAAAGTAAAGATGAAAAGGCAACGAAACGATCTAACGTATTCAATTTATACCTGATTATAAAATTAATGCAATTCACTCTAGCTATATTCCTTTTCTGTTTTTTTTTTTGTTTTTTTTTTGCAGGGGGAATGTTTAATTCTACACCTCAACATTTTTTAAAATGTAACCCCAGCCTGGGTTTTGAATGACATTACTGTTCTATTGCTTAACAAAGAAACACTCACATTCTAAAGACCATTTGAATAGCTCCTGTTGAATATTGGGAACTATGCCATTATCATCTCGAGTTGTCTTCATCTGGGATAACATATCAGTTGTGACCTCATTCAATTGCTGTGAATATTCACCAACAACTTCGGGTTTCAACATTTTCATGTTCAAGATGCGGCGCACCTTGTACCACTCTTCTCCTTGCCTGCATTGTTGACACAAGAATGTGTAGATATTTAATGCATGATATGCATGTAGGCCCTGGGGGTACTTTGTAAATCTCTAAGTGAGGTCTTTAGCGCCACTGGGACACTGAAAGCCTTACCCTATACTAGACCATGATCAGCTTGATTTTGTAACGCTTCTAGACCATTCAGGCACCAAAAGCCCCTACCCTATCCAAGAGTAGCTATTTTCCATGCAGAAACGTTATCGCTATTGTAGTCCAATATATCCTAACTAAACCATTTCTGAGTTTCAATTTCTATTATACCCGAACCTTACTGGTAAAAGACCTGTTCTAGACTAAATTATTTATTCACCAGCCACTTTCTCAGTACATTGTACCCTAATCTAGACCAACACTTTCTGATTTCTATACCCTATCTCAGACTGAACTGCCTGAAAACCATACCCTTCACAGCGGCACACTAGATGTACGTATATAGCCTATTTTTGGGAGTAGTCCCCTTCGCCCGGGATAAAAGCCAACTTTGGTTTGTTCTATCACAATCTCATTTGCAGCTTCATGTGTTGTAAACATATATTATGCCCTTTCAAATGTAAAGTCTGCATTAGGACACATTTTCCTGTCTTGAAGTCGCTGGAACTTGCCTGTATCCTGGTGTCTGTAGCATTAACCAGCAATACAGAGCTGCGCTGTGGCTTAATTGGGTTGAGGAGAATGAGTTTAAGCCCTGGTTTGGGACACTGTGTTAAATTCTTGGAAAAGATGCTAACATTGTAGTACCTTTATTCAGAAGGGCACCATCAAATTGAATACCCGAGAGGTAACCAGAGGACTGGTGTCCTATCCAGGGGAGGAGGGGGGAGTGGGATGACTCTGGTTTGGAAACTCATGCCAGTTGAATTGCAGGACTGGTCCTTATGGGTGGGGATCAGGTCAGTTTCCTTTTTTTTCGGCTACATATAAGACCTTCCTTTAGAATTATGCCACTAGCTGAGTAGCCAATCAAAATTAAGGCGGTGAAATGCAAGTGAGATCTTCACTAGCACTTGGGCTGATTACTGCTTTGAGCCACATGATCCATATAGGTTGTAACAGTAGCTGTCATTATAACCTCGCACCGAAAGTCCGAGTTCTTATTGACCATTGGTTGGGAAGTGAGCAACTCTAGAAAATTCTGGTTGAATTTGCAAATGAACATATGGTTTTTCTTGTGGCTACTGTTGCTAGGCAACGGTAGCCATTATGTTATCATGTGCGTAAGTAAGTAGAGTGTCCAATTTTCGGATTGTGTTCGGAACTATTCGGTCGTCTGTAACCGGGAAGTCGAACGGAAGTCGGTCCGATGTTCGTAGTTACAAAATAGACAAATGTACAATATTCATTTTCTCTCGGTTTTACACGAACGCTATAATCGAACGTCTGCTGGTCTCATTTTGGACTTAAACTATACCAAACGACCAGCGAAGCTAAATCCTGCTCTCTCCAATGATCGAGTTTTTATCGACTACTCACGCACAATGTATCGAAAACGTCTTGGTTGGGAGCTCGAGTTTTCAGGTAAGAGTACTCTGCATTTATGTGTTTATCCTATTTTGGACCAGTAATCAGACACAGCGTTCAAGCAATGTGCACAGTGTTTCTTCGTAAAAAGATTTTGGGCTTCTGAGGGTGCAGATAGAATTTTCTTCTGATCAGGAATACGTTCCCAGAATCGCTGATACACAAAAGGTTTATAAATTGCCAGATCCTATACGATCCTGTACATGAAGCATTTCGCAATGTCAAGCTGGACAAATCAATCGGCTATCATGGCCGTCTTGTAGTACAGGATCGTACAGGATTTGGCGATTTATAAACCTTTTCGGGGCTACAACATTTTCCCTCGGGAAACTATTAAGGTATCATGGTAGGTGGATTGACAGTGTTTGGAAATCGCGCTCTTACGCCGGCGCTTTGAAAGAAAACCCCATCAACCTATACATTTTCTGAAAGCTTAATAGTTATAGAATACAATCATATCTTTGAAATTTTCTAAAAAGTTATTGTCGGAGTGATATTAAAAGAAATACCCAGAAACACTGCTTCGCTTAAACTGGTTCACTTCCGCGTGTGAATTATCGGAGCGGCGTGATTTACATCGGAAATGTTTTCTCACACATCACCCTCAAAAATCGTGTCTGCGATTTTCCAGATGTGGTTTGGTTTGTTTTTCTACACCCTCCTAAACTTTGATATTTTTAATGCGGACGTTTCCTTCTACAAAAGAGGGCATAACTTTGAAACAGAAGCGAAATTAAACAAAGCGCGACACGATTTTTCGAAGGAGGTATCCTAGAACATACCTGCCGATTTTCAGCCAATTCCATCGGAAGACGCGCGTAAACGAACTAAAAATGTTCGTCCTTA